TCATCTCCGGTTGCCAGCGCCGGTTGTTGGCACAGAGGAGGAGACGGAGTTCGGGGGACCCGGTCCACTCCGCCAGGCGCAGACTCGGTGCACTCCAACAGGCGCCCCAGTCCACTCCACAGGAGCGGGTTTGGAGGACGGCGAGGCACGACGTAAGCCGCCTCCTCACACGAGTGACGGCGGTCTAGAGGAGGGAGAGGTTGCACCCACTCCCACTTGTGGAAAGGACGGGGAGGACGAACGTCCTCCGACGGACCACCACGTCGGCCTCGACTACTCGCCCGACAGTCTTCCGCCCACTGACGAGCTATTCACCATGGATTCCACCTTGGCATCTCTGCCCGATATATCGCTACTGATATCTCCCACTTTGCCGGTTGTGGCACCACCGGAGCCTGCTAGACGAGATGACGCGCGTCGTGACAGAGGGTTCGACGAGTTCGGCGGCGACACGATACTGCATCCTCCAGAGTCCGGCACTCCCGCCATTTTTYATGTCGGTGCACCGTGGGCGGTGGAGCAGGGGTTGGCGGAGGAGGTAGCACGGAACCGTCGTGGTGGACCGCACGTCGCAGCTCAACGTAGTCTGGAAGGTTCACTAGAGGCAGCGTCTGGAGATTTTTTGGCGCAGGGGGGTCATGGTTCGCAACTGTTATCGGACGGCGTGTCATCAGTCCATCCATCAGAGGAGGGCCCGCAGCAAGAGCCACATCGAGGGCCAGCGGATACTTTAGAGGCGAGGCCTCCCGGAGTTATCTGCTCGGACGGAGGCGAGGGCGTGAGCGAGGATACAGCGCAGCCAGGGAGCGCAGATGGTGGACGGTCCTTCAGGGGGGGCATCGAGCGCAGAGAGTCATCGACCTCACACCCCAGCATTGTCAGGCCCATCACACGTGACGTTGGAGACGGGCACACAGATGAGCCTCGACCGCATTTGACGGGGATGCGTGACATTATGTGTCCACTACCCTCACGCCCCTCTGCCACTGATCCTGCCGCCCACGGGCAGGCCGCGCCGAGCGCATTGCCTACGAGGTCGTTCTACAGTGCGGGCATGGACCGGAGGGCGGGCGATATCGGACAGACATCAGCATATGGACCGACAGATGTGCCCGCGAGGGCGCGATCGATCGACAACGTCGATGGCACTTGTCATGATTCCATGAGAGCTTACGAGGAGCAGCATGGGAGGCCTATACGGGCCAAGACGAGCGATGACAACGACACCAGGACGGCAACTGCGAGGCTGTCACGGGCGAGGAAGAAGGGAACAGGTGTGTCGATTCCGTATCACCGGCGCCGCCTGCATCCTTTTTCCCGCAACAGGGACGAGACCAGACAGATGCCAGCTGCCGCCGATGGATAGGGGGGGGCGGAGGGAGGTGACAGAGTGGACGAAGCAGGTCGAGGTGAGAAGAGACGAGGCGGCACGATCATCCTCCACGACGACAGCTCCACA